ATTGAAGCTATTATTTATGTGGCTGGTCCGCCTTCTCACTTTAGCTCGCTTGCGAACGGATATTTTTTGGCTACCCAGACGATGCTTGGTCTAAGACCGGACATCATGAGCTGTTTTGGCCATATGTAAAAGAATAATTTTTGGTCACTGCCAAGTGAATAGCACTCTAGGAACTTTCCTCACTTGCGTGAACTTCTTTATCCACCCGTATATTAAATTGTGCACAGATATCACCGACAGTTACACCAACCTACAAATTGAACGAGCAGATCTTAGCTCGTTTACAGTGGTCGTCATCAAAAGGGGTCTCTCATCCGACGCGGTTTTGTTCTTTTAATTGAAGCTATTCTTTATGTGGCTGGTCTGCCTTCTCACTTTAGCTCGCTTGCGAACGGATATTTTTTGGCTACCCAGACGATACTTGGTCTAAGACCGGACATCATGAGCTGTTTTGGCCATATGTAAAAGAATAATTTTTGGTCACTCCCAAGTGAATAGCACTCTAGGAACTTTCTTCACTTGCATGAACTTCTTCATCCACCCGTATATTAAATTGTGCGCAGATATCAACGACAGTTACACCAACCTAATTCGCTTATCCAAAACAATGCTGCATTATCTCAACAATTTGTTCTGATTTATTTTTTTATTTGAAAAGCGTACAGCTTCGGTGCAACGTTTTTTCTTGTTTTTATATTATTTTCTTATATAAAAAATAATGTTTACGCCAATAATATTTTTCAGTTGGTATTTCGGACCGATGTCTCGTCAAGATGCAACCGAAGTGCTAATGAATGAGCGCGACCGAGGTGTATTTCTAGTACGTGATAGTAATTCCATCGCAGGTGATTATGTTTTGTGTGTAAGGTGCGTGTGTTCTACATTTTTATAGTATGTTTATGTGTAGTTTGAATTAAAACAAATTGGATGTCATAGATATATTAACATCCAATTTGTTTTAATTCAAACAAATTTGTTGTATGTACACGTGTGTTTATTACTTATAGAGAGGACACCAAAGTTAGTAACTATATTATAAATAAGATACAACAATAGAATCAAGTTTTGTATCGAATAGGGGATCAGTTATTTGAAAACTTACAAAAATTGTTAACTTTTTACACATTGCACTATCTTGACACCACTCCGCTGAGACGCCCTGCACCAAAGAAGGCTGAAAAAGTCATTGGTAGATATGACTTTGAGGGTAGTGTAASTATAAATATTTTATTAATATAACAAATTTTGATTATTTTGTATACTTAAATTTTTTGATATGCGTCCAGGATCAAGATGATCTCCCTTTCAGACGTGGCGAAATCCTAACTGTAATTCGCAAAGACGAAGATCAGTGGTGGACGGTCAGAAATCAGCAGGGACAAATCGGTCAAATTCCTGTACCTTATGTTCAAGTAGTTAGTTTAYTCACCATTATTAATCATATTACATTAATTTGCATTTATGGCAGAAAATAATATATTATATACCTTTTTAACTTTTTTTAGTGTGAGAAAAATACAGATGATAATTGTACTGATCGGYCATTATCGAGTGGTGGCAATTGTGGCACTACTTTAGCACMTRGTAACAGYTTTCGTTCYCCGCCTCTATCAAGTGTAGCTTGCRAARATGATTCCACGRTTCATTCAACATCTGCGAATTGCCATAAGCTTAACAATTCGTTGAAACGATTCGATTTAAATGTACGTATTTGTGAACTAGTAAATTTATTTATATGATTATACAAATACTTTTTTAAAAAACACATAGCGAAAACTACCAGCGTTTGCTCGTGTTAAACAGGCACGTGTACCCAACGCSTACGACAAAACTGCACTAAAACTTGAGATTGGCAATGTAATTAAAGTAACCAAAACTAATATAAATGGCCAGTGGGAGGGGGAGCTTAACGGAAAAAAGGGACATTTTCCATTCACACATGTGGAGTTCATTGATGACTGCGATCCGATACATAATGCTGAGGATGCAACATTGAAGGTGGTTTCTGTGTCAAGCCTAAATAATGACTGGGTGGAGTAAGATAATCATGAATGATTATTCATATTACTTATTACGATTGGATATAAATTAGTAAAAATAATCAAATGGGTCAAAAATAATTTAAAATTTCACACATTTTATAATTTTTAAATTTGACATTAAATTTGAATTTTGACCGATACTGTGCAATTCGTAAAAAAGATTCATTAAAAAATAATTATTAAACATGTGCAAGTTAATAATTACTACTATACATATATCAACATGTTGCTACACTGTATATTACGAAGAGATGTAAATGAAAGTAGTACCGAAGAAAATTTTAACCGATTAAGAATAGTGACACTCGACACTCTACGTTTTTTACATTAGTTAGTTTATTTTATAAAATATCTGTTTTTGTTTATCTGGTCACGTATTTTATGCCATAGAATCATCTTTATTATCCTTATTATATAGTAATTAATATAGTACATTAACAATATTATTTGAAGCTGCAACTATTAAAATGTGTGAAAAATCATATTTATATTCACATTTTCAAATTTCGTTTCATTTTTAGTTAAGCAAACATGAATCTATTTAAAAAAAAACTAAAATTAATCAAACAAATTGTTTTGTTTTAGAAATCCTTTGGTTTCATTGTTCCGAAAATTTGCAAAGAAATATTGAYAAAAAAGAGTATCATGTTATGAATGAGTTGTATGTGTATGATTAATCTTAACTAAAAAGTGATGAGGTTGGTAGACCAGGCGGAAGTCTTATTGTAGGGAATTTGACTTTCTCCATGCGTGAGAATAGCAAATATTTTAAAACGTCCATCGCAGTATTCACATCAAAATGGATTCCAGACCGGATCTGAGCGCCAAAAGTCCGTAGATAATTACGCGTTTCACAAATATTTTTTTGCACTTGGTCTAGCCGAGTGAGCAAATCAGGGCTGTATATCGGTCGGAACTGAAAAACTATTGCAGACATTAACATCAACTTTCCGGCCGGATAAGCCGGCAAACGGTTTGCATCCAACGAAAAGGTTTTGTCAGTTCCTTCCACGTAACATATAACATCTGTCATATAAGCTGAATGAAAAAATATTTGACACCATTGAAATAAAAAGAAAAC